CAGTGGCTAGAGACTCTTCTGCTGGCATAGATGGGACCTGGCTGACTGTGGAAGGGGAAGAGGTTCCCGCTCTCTCGGATGTGCCCAGATGGGTTTAGGATTTGGCCCCAACCGAGATCCCAGGCAGGATTGTTGGGGTTCCGGGGGTCCCCTGAGAATCTCTCCTGGCACTCAGGATGCTCCAGGCATGATATTCTTCCGATTAAAATTGGAATTCCGATTTTTTTGGGAATCCCCCCCCCTTTCACCCCACCCCTTCTTCTCCTCCTTCCCCTCCCCTCAGAGGCCCCGAGTCAGGAGTTGCTGGCGCAGGAAGGGAAAGGCAAAAAGGAAGAGCCGTGGCGGCGCTTTGCAACGGCAGCAGTGGCTCCTGGTTTTGCCTTTCCCTTCCCGATGCAACGCGGGACTGGAGCTGCATGGAGCTGCGCCGGCGGTAGCAACTCCTGACAGCCCCAGCCGGATACCTGAGCGGAGCCCGGGCGGTGCGAGCGGAGGCCGCTGAGCGGCAGGAAAAGGGAGCTGGGCCAGCCACAGACCAGCCTCCGTGCAACACGCCACCGCCCGGCCCTGGCGAGGGAAAGCAGCGGGCGCTCCCCGGGCGCGTGGCGGGGGGTCTCTTTTGGCCGGCCCCGATTTTTTTTTCAGAGCGGAATATCATGCCTGGGATGCTCCCACCCCACGATTCTGGTTGGGACTCCCTGTTTCTGACTCCGGGTTGACATGATGGGCTTGTGGCTACTGTACCAGCCTCCCTGCCGCATGGCCCCCTCCCTGCCTGAGCTGCTGGAGACCCTCTCAGGGTTGGCATGGACTTGCCCAGGATTATGGTCCTGGGAGACTTCAATCTGCCGTCCTTGGTCTTGGCCTCAGAAGCAGCCCAGGGTTCATGGCCATCATGGCGTCCGTGGGTCTCTTCCAGATCGTCCTGGGTTCGACTCGAGACAGTGGCCACACACTGGACAGGATCATTTTTTTGAAATAATTTTTTTATTTTTAACATACAACAAATTCGTTCCATTTCAATTGTGTGTCATTTAGGTACATAGTTCATGTGCTTAACAGTTACTAATAATATTCTTAACAGTATAACAATATAATAATAATCACATTCCCATATATATAATATAAGTAATATTCAGGATGTCTGTTACACTATTTTCTCTCATTGCTTTATAAATACGTCTAATCCCTTTTAATTAATTTTATTTCCTAGCCATTTATAAAACAAGTCCCATACCATGTAATATTCAGATTCTTCTTTTTCTTTAATTTCTAATGTCAATCTATTCATTTCTGCACATTCAAATATTTTTCTAATTATTTTTTCCCTCTATCGGTATTTTATCACTTTTCTAATTTTGAGGAAATACAATTCTAGCTGCTATTAATACATGTAAAATTAAGAATGTCTTTTCTTTGCTGTAACCTTCAGGTACCATTCCTAATATTTCAGGCTTCAAATCTACATGTTGTTTAATCCTTTTTTCCAACCATGTGTGTATTTTGGTCCAATATCTTTTAGTTTCTATACAAGTCCACCACACACGGTTATATATTTCACTGGACCTGATTTTCTTGTTGGAGCAAAGGCAACATGATCTGATGGGGGAATCTGGATTTTATTTATTGTTTTAAATATTCCACATGGCAGTTTATTGAACTTTACTGTGAGCTGCCTAGAGTCACCTTGAGGAGATGGGTGGGATGGAAGTTTAATTAATAAATCAATGAAAAGCTATACGTCCTCTTGAGAAGTTTGTGAGGCTGAAGAGGTTGAATGGAGAAGAAAGAGATTTCTCCTCCTCACAGGACAAGACATTCATTCATTCTGTGTCTTTTTCTCCAATCCAGGGAGCAACCAGGCCGCTTAGCAGCCCCCTTGCAGGTGAGTGGACTGGTGGGGGCCACGTGGGGTGAGAGGGAGGGAGGGAGGGAGGGAGGGGAGGGCTTTGGGGTCCAAGGACCAAGGGAGGGTGAAGAGACTTTGGAAATCCCTCTTCTCTCTCCGGTTCATCCCAAACACTGGAAGGGAAGGGATTTGGGGGAGAGGGCTCGGGGGAGGGGGTCTTCCTGCCCCCCAAACTCTGATCCTGTGGCGCCTCTCAGGCTCTGCCTGTCTTGGTCCCTCTAACCCTTGGGTGCTTCTTCCCTCCTCCTCCTCCCAGTGGAGACTCCCAGCATAAAGAGAGAGGAATGAAGAGGGATCAGCCTCCTCCTGAATTAGGCCGGGGTCTTCGGGCCTTTCCTGCACGCTGGAACCAGGATAGATTTTGGGTCTTTCATCACTGCTTTTATTGCTGAATCAGTAAACTTTTTCTATCATGATTGAGGAGCAGAGGAGAAAAGGACGTATTATGTGTTAAGATTTCAAATTGGGTTTCGTAGATAATAGTTTGTTATAGGTAGGTTGCATAACAGCCTTAATGGGCTTTTGCTGATTAATCTTAGTGGATAGAGATTAGAGGTTAAAGATTAGAGGTTTTAGAGACGGGTTTAGAGAAAATGGGGTGAGGGATAGGATGAATAGTTCATTGGTTTTACTTTAAGAAAGATTGATAAGTTGTTAATTTTCATTATATTTGTTGAGGATAAAGGTAGAGGTTTCTTTTTCCTGTATATCTGTTTAATGTAATCTTTGATGAAACTGTTACTAAAAGAAGAAATGTGCATTCTGAGATTTTTGTCACTAAAATAGTTAATGCATTCTTAATTGATTATTGCACGGCTATTTGACCATAAATTTGATAACACAAAGTTTGACAAATAATGAATATGCTAAGTATATTATTTGACACTGATTTTTATATAGATTGCCATTTATGAATTGTCATGATTTAGACAAATGGAACATGAGATCAATTGCAGAGTCAGGTTGCTATGTCCTTAACAATGGCACATATATTACAAAGTTTGTCAAAATTGTTTGCTGAAAATAAATGGTTTTGATTTCTTCTTACCTGACAGTTTCTGCGTCTTATTATAAGTTGGAAATAACAAAGATTTTCCCCTCCTTGTTGATCAGAGACCCCAATTTCGCTCTGAGTGATAGGAAGGGGAGGAATCAAGGGGGGAACTGGGGGGGCTCCTGTTTTCTCCTTTGGGGGGGAGGCAGCCATTTTGTTCCTGTCTCCAGAGGTTTATCCGGCATCACCAGCTGATCATTTGCAAAATGGCTACTTGGCCTTGGCTTGGGTGTGGCAGCAACAGAGGCTGCTTTCCCCTCAAATCCACCTTTGCCTCAGGTTGTTGTCCAAGTGGCTGGTCTTTGAGCCTCACCCAGGGGCCCTTCAGAAGAGAGTTCAGTGACCGGCCAGAGCCTTCCTGGTCCCCTTGCAGAAGGGCAGCTTCTCCTGTTTCTCACAGATCCTCTCTGGGGTCTTCAGGTGTGATGATGCAGGGGTCCAAGAGTGGGGAGACCCTGGACTGATAGGAAATATTCCCCCCCCCCCTATTACAGGGGATGCTTTGGGGCAACGGAGGAGTGAAAGGGAGGGGGGTCTGCCCTCCTCCCCCCTCAGGACTAGCCACCTTTGTCCTTTTGACAAGCAAAGTCAATGGGGAAGCCAGCTTCCCTTAACAACCGTGTTACTAACTTAACAATTTGAGAGATTCACTTAAGAACCGTGGCAAGAAAAGTCGTAAAATGGGGCAAACCTCACTGAACAAATGTTTCACTTAACAACAGAAATGTCATAAGTCAAGAGCCACCTGTAATGCTTAAGGCACCAGGCTAGAACTCAGGAGGCAGTGAGTTCAAGTCCCGCCTCAGGCACAAGAGTCAGCTGTGCTATTTTGGGCCAGTCATGGTGTCTCCACAGGGTTGTTGTGAGGAAAACAGGACAAGGAAAGAGTGTTATTTGTGTCCTCAGCCTTGAGCTCTTTCTGAAAATGATAAAAGCGGGATATGGACAAACAAACTCACGGGCTGAACTCTCTCCCGATCTCAAGGACGCCTGAAAGAAGAAAGGCCAGCGTGGTTCAGCCTGATCTAAAGTCCAAAAGAAATAATGTCCCAGTGGGTTGGTGGTAGAGCCTTAGTCATGTCCTTCCTTGATAACTTTAAGGATTGCGGTTCAAGAACTGGAAAATTATAAGTAGACACCTAAAGAAAAAAAATAATTGTGTGAAAGTCTTCTTTGCCTCTTTCCTGGGGGGGGAAAAAAACCCATTTAATGACTGTCAAGATTGAATCGCTTTATTGCCTTCCAACTTCTATCGCTATTCAACTTGCCAATGAAAAGAGGGGAGGGGTGGAATGCGCAGGGAGGAAACTGGGTGCCTAGACGCCGTCCTCGGAGGATGAGAACTTGCACAACGCCAAGGTCACAACTGCAGGTGTTTGATGGAGAAGTGGACTGTTCCCATAACAAAAAGTAGTTTTACAATTGGATAACGGGAACATCTGAGTGGTGGGAGAAAGGGAGCCTCTTGTTTAACTGAGCAAACTTTCACACCGGAAAATCAGAACTGATTTTGCTTCTTCAGTTCCAACATGGTGAGTTCAATAAAAGTTTTAATTTTTGGGATTCAATGGCTTCATGCAATGAAAGCAGCAGAAGCAGCAAAAGTCTTTCTTTCTCTCCCTCAAACTCCGCTAGAAATGAGTCTTTGTGAGACTTGTCACGCCGGTGCAGCCTCTTGGAGCAGGAGGCCTTGCAGGGTCCCAAAGACTCATTTTTGGCGGAGTTTTGGGGAGAGAAAGAAAGACTTTTGCTGCTTCTCTTGCGTGCAGTCAAAAGCAGAAGAAAGAAGCCGAAAGAAGTAGCCAGGAGGCCAGGTGAGGCGCGTGGGGTGAGTGGGGCAAGTTCTCCCCTCTGCCCTTTCCACCCCTCTCCTCAGTGGACTAGAACAGTGATCCCCAACCTTTTTGACGCCGCGGCCCGGTACCGGCATCAGCTGGGCGCCGCCATCTTTTTTTGATGAAAACGTGCTTCCGGTGAGCTTTCTACCCGGAAAAGCTCACCGGAAGCACTTTTTCATGAAAAAAAGATGGCGGCGCCCAGCAAGCCAGCGGCCCGGTAGGAGTTGTTCCGCGGCCCGGTACCGGTCTGCGCACCGGTGGTTGGGTACCCCTGGACTAGAAGACCTCCAAATTCCCTTCCAGCTCTGTTATTCTGTTAATTCTGAACAATTGCCCTCGGAGCTATAGACTGTAATTGTTATGTGTGCAAAATGGAGGAACGGAAAGTTCCATTCAAGGGAAGCTCAAAACAAGGAGAGGCTCATTTTGAAGTGCAGCAAAGAACAGGAAACAGACACATATATTCCTTCAATCTTTTGCTGTTGCATTTTATTAATAAAAATATAGAAATATACAATTAATTTTTTCCATTGCCTATTTCCATTGAACTAAAAGCCATTATCCTGTTTTCCATAAAAATATCACTTTCAGTAATACAAATTTGATGCAACCGTTTTGTGGGAATTCTGTAACCGCGCTAAACAAGACCTATCTGTGTGACTTCCATCCAAATACAGATTTGCAAGGACTAAAAGGGATCCCAGAGATATTTATTTAGCAAAACAAAGAGGAAGTCAAGTTTCTGCAACCAATATTAAAAAGTGTGACAAAAGAGGAGGTTGTACAAAAAGGTCTCACATACTAAATTTAAACAAAGGAAAATCTGGGGTATTGGTGTCATTGCTAAACAAAACAGTTGCTTGAAACGGGATTGTGCACCTTTCACTATGGAGTTTCCAGGGCCCAAGTTGCTACTTAACACCACCTGAATTGTGCCCAGATGAGAAAGACAGCCTCCTCTTCTTCCAAATGGGTGCAATTCAGCAACCCTTGACTGGCCAAGAGCTGCTAGACAGGCCAGCTTCTGGGTCACTCTCCTTCCCTAAGAGAGTCCTCTTGTCTATTTCCCCCAACCAATCATGCATTTGGCATCTACAAAAGCAGTGGATCCTGTGGCCGAGCGTCTCTGTTGCAACTCCGGAAGTCACTCCGCCTGGGACCTTTCCACCAGTCTATAGTAGGGGCCTTGCCGGCCCATCAGCTCCGTGTGAGTCCCTTCTTCCACAACCTCTCCTCCTTCTAGCACCACAATCTTGTCTGCGTTCTCCACCGTCTGCATCCGATGAGCAATCACCAACACCGTCCGGGCTCCACTGGTCTGCACAGACTGCTGGATCTGGAAAAGGAAGCAATGATCCAGAGGAAATCCTGAGCTCCTTAGAAGCACTAGATCAGTCATGGTGAGCCTTATTTGTTGTGGTGTGCTGAAAGTGCGTGCGTGTACGATAGCGTGCATACACCTGTCAGCACCCACAATGCAATGCCCCCTGCCCCCCCTGCGCATGTGTTTACAACATCCCACCCCGCCCCCTTACCTAGACTTTGCATGTGCGCACCTCCCAGCTGATTTTTGGCCTGTTTGAGACCGTTTTCGCCTCCTGCAGGCTCGAGGGAAGCCTCTGCAGCCTTGGGAGGCTGAAAAATGGGTCTTCCGGAAATATCGGAAGTGCCTGTTTTCAGCCTCCGGAGCTCACGGGCCCGTTTTGGCACTTCCAGTATTTCCGGAGGGCCCGGTTTTAGCCTCCTGAGGCTTCCCTTGAGCCTCTGGGAGGGCGAAAATGGCCTCAAATGGGCCAAAAATCAGTCAGGAGGTGCATGCGTGTGCAGTGCAGGTAAGTTTGGATGGGGCTCACGTGCCTGCACAAATGACTCTGTGTGCCATCTGTGGCACGTGTGCCATAGTTCGCCATCACTGCACTAAATAGAAGCTCCCTCACATTTCCACTGAAAAGTGCTTCTCCAGCACTGCAATAGAGTTTGGCCCCAAGCCTTTTGCAGCCTGGAAAACCACCCAAATGAAGGCAAATATGCATGGCCTAGGAGAATGTTCCAAGATCTACTCTGTGTTGGTTACCATAACCAGAGATTTAGCAAACTTGAAAGAAATTACGATACTTCCAGTCAAATAAACCCAGTTTTCCTATGCTGTCACCTCAGATTAAAAATTCAGATGAAGCCCTTCAGCGGCCCTGAACTAATCCAGCCAAGATCCAATCCCAGCCCCCTCGTGGATCCCCCACACTCACTGCAGCGTCACTCTCGGGGTCCAAGGCACTCGTGGCTTCATCCAGCACCAAGACCTTCGGGTCACGGATCAGGGCCCGGGCGATGGCCAGCCATTGCTTCTGCCCGATGGAGAGCTGGCCCCCCTTCTCCCCCACCTCTGCAAAAGAAGGCAAGCAAGGAAAACAGAGGAGATCCAGAGCGAAGTCAAGGCCGACCAAATCTTGTTGCCCTAAAGGGGTGGCAAAGCCACTCAGCTGAAAGACAAGGCAAAACTAGAAGCCCAACTTCTAGTGGGAGGGAGATACCGTAATAATGGTGCAAAAGTGCACCATCGCGCCTACCGTCCCTGTCCTATTGTCCCCATTTATTCGTACCTATTTCCTGTATTCTTACTCATGTTTATACTTATATCTATTATCTTGTAAGCGATTGGCAAATGAAATAAATAAATAAATACAATTTGGACAGTGCAAAAGGTCCAGAGGAGGGGAAAAGACCTCCCTGCACTTTTTAACAATTATAGAAGAGATTTTAGGATTTGCGATTTTTGAAATGGCACAATGGTGCAATCAGCTCTTTGAATTCTCTTTTCTGTTTTAATGATATTGTTATCATTAGGGTGATCGTGTAACCCGGAGCATTACCAATAGTCCTCAAGTTACAAGTGCAACTGTGACAGGAATTTTCATTGCTAAGCGATTGTTCTGACCCAAGCCTCATTCAAATCAAAGAAATGCGAAACAGAGATAAAAGCAAAACCTTTTTAATGCCTCTCTGTGAATTCCGTTCATTCAGAGTAAAGTGCTATTAAAATTAATTGTCCCAGATAAGAACAAGCCCTGTCAAGGTATTGCAAGGCTGCCAAGAACACAAGATTAAATTGCAAGGAACGCGAGCTGCAGGCAAATTCACCTCATGCGCACACTTCACAGATGATTTTCGGCCTCCCAGAGGCTTTAGGAAGGCTCCTGCAGGCTTTTCAGACCAAAAACTAGGCCTGTTTTGTCACTTCCTGTTTTTCTGGAAATACCGGAAGTGACGAAACCGGCCTAGTTTTCAGCCTGAAAAGCCTGCAGGAGCCTTCCTAAAGCCTCTGGGAGGCTGAAAAAGACCACAAATCAGCCAAAAATCGGAGGTGAGGCATAAGGCTGAGAAGGGGGCGGCAGGGTGGGGGGATTGCGTGCACAGGCGTAGGGGGAATGAGGGGGCACACATTGCCTTCTGGGTTCTGGCACACAAGTGTGAGCATGCAAGCACGCACACAATTTTTGGCACAGGAGCCCAAAAAAGTTAGCCACCACTGCTCTATAACAATGGAATCTAAGGTTTTCTTTCTTGGATTTTGAATGCTCGGGGGAAGCGAGGGCATCTGGGTGGTGGTGGGTGGGGCAAGCAAACCGCTTAATAAATTATTTGAATCCCACCACTGGTTGCAACCTCCATTTGTTTGGTGCCACTGTAATTTGGAACGATAGCCGAAGGAATGGTCCTAACCCAAGGACTACTGTATAGATTGCAACAAAACAAGCAGGATTTCACTTCAGAAGAGCCAAGAAACGGGACCGGTGGGTTTACTGGGAGGAAAGTGGGGGTTTTATGGGATGAATCAAGAGGGGATGGATGGATTTTGCCCACCTGCATCAAAGCCTCCTTCCAGCTCACAGATGAATCCCAAGGCATCAGCTTCTTCCGCTGCTCTGCTCACGTCTTCCTCGCTGCAGCCTTGTAGGCCGTAGGTGATGTTCTCCCTGATGGGCCCAGAGAATAGGATGGGCTCCTGGCCCACTAGGGCCACCTGCAATTGGACAGGGAGGCCTATCAGAAACGCCACTGATCCTCCTCATCAAGCGCTTTCCAAAGTGGGGCTGGTTAATGCTCAAGGTGCAGAATATCAAATACAGAACAACAGAGTTGGAAGGGACCTGGCGTGTCTTCTAGTCCAACCCCCTGCTTAGGAAACCTACACCATTTTAGACAAATGGTTGTTCAATCAC